TTGTGAACCTCCATGTGCAGATTTCGTGGCAGGTGCAGCACTTTGTGTACCTCCATGTGCAGATTTCCTGGCAGGCACAGCACTTTGGGAACCTCCATGCGCAGATTTCGTGGCAGGTGCAGCACTTTGTGAACCTCCATGTGCAGATTTCGTGGCAGGTGCAGCACTTTGTGAACCTCCGTGTGCAGATTTCCTGGCAGGCGCAGCACTTTGTGAACCTCCAGGTGCAGATTTCGTGGCAGGCACAGCACTTTGTGAACCTCCATGTGCAGATTTCGTGGCAGGCACAGCACTTTGTGAACCTCCATGTGCAGATTTCGTGGCAGGCACAGCATCTGGAGAGCTGGAAGCTGAGAACTGGCGACTTTGTAGTACAACTTTAGTACGCGGAGTATCTGGCGAGCTGGACGATGAGAACTGGCGACTTTGTAGTACAACTTTAGTACGCGGAGTATCTGTGGAGCTGGAAGCTGAGAACTGGCGACTTTCTAGTACAACTTTAGTACGCGGAGCTATCTGTGCAGCTAGAAGCTGAGAACTGGCGACTTCGTAGTACAACTTTAGTACGCGGAGCAATCTGTAGAGCTGGAAGCTGAGAACTGGCGACTTTCCAGTACAACTTTAGTACGCGGAGCAATCTGTAGAGCTGGAAGCTGAGAACTGGCGACTTTCTAGTACAACTTTAGTACGCGGAGCAATCTGTAGAGCTGGAAGCTGAGAACTGGCGACATTGTAGTACAACTTTAGTACGCGGAGTATCTGGCAAGCTGGACGATGAGAACTGGCGACTTTGTAGTACAACTTCAGTACGCGGAGCAATCTGTGCAGCTAGAAGCTGAGAACTGGCGACTTCGTAGTACAACTTTAGTACACGGAGTATCTGGCGAGCTGGACGAGGAGAACTGGCGACTTGGTAGTACAACTTTACTACGCGGAGTATCTGTGGAGCTGGATGGTGAGAACTGGCGACTTTCTAGTACAACTTTAGAACGCGGAGCAATCTGTAGAGCTGGAAGCTGAGAACTGGCGACTTTGTAGTACAACTTTAGTACGCGGAGTATCTGTGGAGCTGGATGGTGAGAACTGGCGACTTTCTAGTACAACTTTAGTACGCGGAGCAATCTGTAGAACTGGAAGCTGAGAACTGGCGACTTTGTAGTACAACTTCAGCACGCGGAGTATCTGGCAAGCTGGACGATGAGAACTGGCGACTTTGTAGTACAACTTCAGCACGCGGAGCAATCTGTGCAGCTAGAAGCTGAGGACTGGCGACTTCGTAGTACAACTAGAGTTGTACTGGCGAACAGTGTAGTACGCGGAGGAGTCACCTCTCGCTGCTCATTCATCTCTCGCTGCTGAGTCAGCTCTCGCTATAGCCATCTCTCGCGGCTGAGTCATCTCTCGCGACTGAGTCATCTCTCGCTGCTGAGTCATCTCTTGCGGCGTGCACGTTCAGTTCATACTGATAGTATTTGGTTGCATTTATGCAGGACAGGACATTCAACTGCTGGTCAAGACACCACTCATCATACACCAGTCAGCATACACCACTCAACATACACCACTCATCATTCATCACTTGTCATACACCCCTCATTATACAAGACTCATCATACATAGTCTCAGAGTTCAAGACAGATTTTACATTCAAATTCGGACTCCATTCAGTCCGATGTGTGATATGCAAGGTTTGCCGCCACTGAAGAATGCCACGGTGGGATGTGTGTCGATGTGGACCGCATCCTTGGCAAGTCGTGGTGGCCGGATGTGTGTCATCTCTCGCTGGGGGCACACACACCTTACACACGTGGAATCCCGTGGGTCAAAAGTCCGGAGCGCGTGCGTTTGACTGGAGGACGCGCATGTTGGAGAGAACGTGGACACTCCTATCGGTCAATTTCTTCTTATAGGAAACTTCCGCCGCCGGCTTGCCCGGGAACTACTTGTAGTACGGCCAGGAGCCCCTAGTAGCTACTTGCTCCTAGTAGTACGGCCAGGAGCCCCTAGTAGCTACTTGCTCCTAGTAGCGACGCCAGGAACCCCTAGAAGCTACTTGCTCCTAGTAGAACGGCCAGGAGCCCCTAGTAGCTACTTGCTCCTAGTAGTACGGCCAGGAGCCTTTAGTAGCTACTTGCTCCTATAGTAGTACGGCCAGGAGCCCCTAGTAGCTACTTGCTCCTACAGCCAGGAGCCCCTACTAGCGTCCTTGCTCCTAGTAGCGATGCCAGGA